GCATCTCCTTCCACATAATGGAGTCTCTACTTCTTATTTGTAAGCTCATATCTCCCACTTGTCAATATAGTGTCAATTTGGATTAGAATATGACTTTTCTTAAACAGAGTCCCAGTTTTCTGTTTTTCATATGAGAGTTTAAGTGTAGCTAAAGGAATAAGAAAACAAGTAATTGATGCATCTCCTTCCACATTTAGGAGTCTCTACTTCTTATTTGTAAGCTCATAACTCCCTCTTGTCAATATAGTGTCATTTTCGATCAGAATATGACTTTTCTTAAACAAAGTCCCAATTTTCTGATTTTCATAAGAGAGATTTGGTGTAACTAAAAGAATCAGAAAACAAGTAAATTATGCATCTCCTACCATATTTAGGAGTCTCTACTTCCTATTTGTAAGATCAGAACTCCCTCTTGTCAATATAGTTCCATTTTGGATCAGAATATGATTTTCTTAAACAGAGTCTCAGTTTTCTGATTTTCATAGGAGAGTTTAAGTGTAGCGAAAGGAATAAGAAAAAAAGTAAATGATGCATCTCCTTCAACATTTAGCAGTCTCAACTTCTTAGTTGTAAGCTCAGAACACCCTCTTGTCAATATAGTGCCAATTTTTTTTATCCGAATCTGACTTTTCTTAGAGTCCCAGTTTTCTGATTTTTATAGGAGAGTTTTAGTGTAGCTAAAGGAATAATAAACAAGTAAATTGATGCATCTCCTTCCACATTTTGGAGTCTCTACTTCTTATTTGTAAGCTCATATCTCCCACTTGTCAATATAGTGTCAATTTTGGATCAGAATATGACTTTTCTTAAACAGAGTCCCAGTTTTTCTGTTTTCATATGAGAGTTTAAGTGTAGCTAAAGGAATAAGAAAACAAGTAATTTATGCATCTCCTTCCACATTTAGGAGTCTTTACTTCTTAGTTGTAAGCTCAGAACTCCCTCTTGTCAATATAGCGCCTTTTTTATATGAATATGACTTTTCTTAAACAGAGTCCCAGTTTTCTGATTTTCATAGGAGAGTTTTAGTGTAGCTAAAGGAATAAGAAAACAAGTACTGATGCATCTCCTTCCACATTTAGGAGTCTCTACTTCTTATTTGTAAGCTCATATCTCCCACTTGTCAATATAGTGTCAATTTGGATCAGAATATGACTTTTCTTAAACAGAGTCCCAGTTTTCTGTTTTTTATATGAGAGTTTAAGTGTATCTAAAGGAATAAGAAAACAAGTAAATGATGCATCTCCTTCCACATTTAGGAATCTCTACTTCTTATTTGTAAGCTCATAACTCCCTCTTGTCAATATAGTGTCATTTTCGATCAGAATATGACTTTTCTTAAACAAAGTCCCAATTTTCTGATTTTCATAAGAGAGATTTGGTGTAACTAAAAGAATCAGAAACCAAGTAAATTATGCATCTCCTACCATATTTAGGAGTCTCTAATTCCTATTTGTAAGATCAGAACTCCCTCTTGTCAATATAGTTCCATTTTTTTTATCCGAATCTGACTTTTCTTAGAGTCCCAGTTTTCTGATTTTTATAGGAGAGTTTTAGTGTAGCTAAAGGAATAATAAACAAGTAAATTGATGCATCTCCTTCCACATTTTGGAGTCTCTACTTCTTATTTGTAAGCTCATATCTCCCACTTGTCAATATAGTGTCAATTTGGATCAGAATATGACTTTTCTTAAACAGAGTCCCAGTTTTCTGTTTTTCATATGAGAGTTTAAGTGTATCTAAAGGAATAAGAAAACAAGTAAATGATGCATCTCCTTCCACATTTAGGAATCTCTACTTCTTATTTGTAAGCTCATAACTCCCTCTTGTCAATATAGTGTCATTTTCGATCAGAATATGACTTTTCTTAAACAAAGTCCCAATTTTCTGATTTTCATAAGAGAGATCTGGTGTAACTAAAAGAATCAGAAAACAAGTAAATTATGCATCTCCTACCATATTTAGGAGTCTCTACTTCCTATTTGTAAGATCAGAACTCCTTCTTGTCAATATAGTTCCATTTTGGATCAGAATATGAATTTTCTTAAACAGAGTCTCAGTTTTATGATTTTCATAGGAGAGTTTAAGTGTAGCTAAAGGAATAAGAAAAAAAGTAAATGATGCATCTCCTTCAACATTTAGCAGTCTCAACTTCTTAGTTGTAAGCTCAGAACACCCTCTTGTCAATATAGTGCCATTTTTTTATTCGAATCTGACTTTTCTTAGAGTCCCAGTTTTCTGATTTTTATAGGAGAGTTTTAGTGTAGCTAAAGGAATAATAAACAAGTAAATTGATGCATCTCCTTCCACATTTAGGAGTCTCTACTTCTTATTTGTAAGCTCATAACTTCCTCTTGTCAATATAGTGCCAATTTGGATCAGAATATGACTTTTCTTAAACAGAGTCCCAGTTTTCTGTTTTTCATAGGAGAGATTAAGTGTAGCTAAAGGAATAAGAAAACAAGTAAATGATGCATCTCTTTCCACATTTAGGAGTCTTTACTTCTTAGTTGTAAGCTCAGAACTCCCTCTTATCAATATAGTGCTATTTTGGATCAGAATATGACTTTTCTTAAACAGAGTTCTAGTTTTCTGATTTTCATAGGAGAATATAGGTGTATATTGCAAGAATTTTGCCACAATCATTTCGTGGTAAATGTATTTTACCACAGATTTATAACAAAATTACCACAAAAACTTTTTTTTACAAATTTTGTTAAATTTTATGGCAATTTGCCACAGTAACACATGTCTTGGCATTTTGTTACAAAAATTACCACATATTATCAGAAAATAATTTTCTGTCAATATTTGCCACGTATTATTAGAAAAGATGTTCTGTCAAATTTGCCATAACACGAATACCGTTGGAATTTAATACAATTGCCACAAAATTATTTCATTACAAATTTGTATCAAAATTTCGACTGATATGTCGAATCAAATTATGTACTTGCAAAGATATTTTATCAGTTTGCCACGAATTACCAAAGTTTGCCTCTAATTTGCCACAAAATTATTTGTGGCAATGGTCTGTGCTCTGCAAAAAGGTGTTACATCGTTTCATTTCAGATAGCAGAGAATATATTCTTTGATGCTACAAAACTATTTGTTGCAATTTGTGGCAAAAAAGATTATAAATAGACATGTTCGTCACATTTGGTATTTTCATTTTCATTATGGACATGTTTCTCTCATGAGTTTTATTATTTTAGAGAAACAGAAATGTCTGAGTTCTATTATTCGAGAGAATGGATGTATTCTCGTTTAGACATAGATCAACGAAAGGTGTCAGATAAATTTGTTGAAGGAATACAAACATTTTTGTCTTTCGTTCGTAATCAACCATCTTATAAGGACCGGGGAAATTTATTGTGTCCGTGTTTGAAGTGTAAAAACCAAAAACGTCGTGATGCAGATACCGTTGAAAAACACCTGTATTTGAAGGGATTTACGCCGAATTACTATTTTTGGACACATCATGGAGAAATTTGCTACAACGATGGTGGAGCATCTACAAGTCATTGAGGGGGGGAACAAGAAACTTGGATTCATAGTCCAAATGTTCAAATGCCCGTTGATCAAAATTATAAAGCAGAAGAAGATGTACACATGCCCGATGATTCCGAAATTCACCATGAGACACAACAAGAAATAAGGTATCCAACGTAAATTATCAAGTCTTAAAAATAATGATATGCTTTTATAAATATAGACATATTTTGTACATATTAATATTTAAACTTAATAAATGTGTTTCAAGTTAAACTAAACCTAATTGAAAAGGGCTGAAGAACATACTGTATAAATTGGTAATTAAAAATTTATTGTCATAATTTTGATTGTTAGAAATTAATTTTTAGATAAACATTAAAAATAAGGAATATTAACTACCTTATTTTTTGTAGTGCAAATTGCCATGATAACGTTTTTCAAACATCTGAAGTGGCAAATCAACCTCTTTACGAAGGATGTCCTAAAGGGATTTCTCCATTGTACATTGCATCAAAAATAATGAATTGGAAGACCAATTTCAATCTATCTGAAGAATGCTTAGACGAAATATCTCAGACATTTAAAAATGTCATTCCGTCGCCAAATAAAGCTCCAGAATCATACTACCAGACGAAAAAGTTGACTCGATCACTTGGTTTGCCTTGTCATAAGATTGATGTGTGCGAAGATAACTCTGTATGCTTTTTTGGAAGGGAGAGGATCGAGAGTTGTTGCAATGTCGGTTTTGCAAGAAAGACCGGTTTAAACCGCATAATGGAACCGGTAAAAGAATACCCAAACAGAGAATGTTTTACCTGCCGATTGCAGATCGTTTGAAGCGATTGTACCAATCTGAGACGACATCATCACAGATGAGATGGCACGCTGAGCATGTGACTCCTGAAGGAGAGATGCATCACCCATCAGATGGAAAAGCATGCCTCCTAAACCTTAAAATTTTGCCTCCAACACTTTTACATTTTCCAATTTCTTAAAGTTGCCCTTTTTTTCTCTTCTTTTCCAACGAGATTAGAAACCCTTTCTCTGAAACTCTTCTCTGCGCCGCTGCCTTGAACGGTTCTATTCTTTTTTCCGGTGAACCATACCTCCACCGCCATCTCTTCCAGTCTCTTTAACCCCTCTCCACCTCTGTCTCTCTGCCGCCGTCTATTTCTCTCCTCGCCGCCGCCGTCTTTTTCTTTCCTCGCCACCGCTTTCTCTTTCTGTCCTCCCCACCGGCCGGTATCAACGCTTCTCTCTCTCTCTCTCTCTCACTCGATATCAACTGCTTTCTAGTTAGATCTATTGTATTCTCAATTGATTTTGTAACCGTTGCATTCGCTGTGTCATATTTGCATTCTCGTCTTTGGATTTAACCTGATTTCTAGTTTCATCCATTGGTGTGTTATGATTAAATATCTATAACTGCTTGCTGATGTCTGATTTTTTTGCTTATGATTTCGCTTAAGTTTGATTAATCTCATCCCATTTTTTTTAAAGTGTTTCAGATATGATGAATCTTCTTCGTCGTGGCGGTTACTCTTTCCAACCAGCTTCTCGGACTCCTAGCACATCTCCGCCTCCTGGATCAACTGGGTCAGTTAGTTCTACTGCACAGCCATATATCCCTGCAAGCCTAGCTGAATTAATGAATGCACCTGCGAGACTTAGCATGCCACATTTGCACCCAGAAAGGCTTGACGGAGCTCTATGGTAGACAAATATCCCTGTATCTGTGTATGTATATTTTTAGAATTCAGTATATATATATGGTATCAGTTTACCTTTTTCTATGTGTTATAGGTTTGATATTCATCCCAAGGTCACTAAAGACATCTGCAAAACTTGGAAATCAAATTTTTGGGGACCATGGTGGAATTACTCGATGGTTCCCCAAGAGAAGAAAGACATGTGGTGGGCTAGTTTTGTGGTATGTTATCTAGTTGCTTTGTAGTTCCACTATGTTGAAGTCGCTTGTAATATGGTGTGTTGAAGTTTTTGTTGCTTGTTTGATTCTGTGTCTTGAGTTTAACTATTGAATTTTGCAGCAACTGTATTATTGGGACAAAGAACATGAGGATGCAGTATTTGCGGCCTGGAAACCCATTGCAAGGGCTCTATATCAAGTCGTGTGAGCCAGAAGAAGTTAGCAGGGTTGAAGCCTGATTTCATAAGCCAAGATGATTGGTATCTCATGCTCAAGATGTGGGAGACTCCTAAACTCTCCAATAAGTGCAAAACCAACTCAAAGAACCGCAAGGCTAATCCACATAACCACACTGCCGGTGCTAAAAAAACAGCTAGAATCGAACATGAGATGGTAAATGTTGTTTAAGTTTTATTCACTTTACATTTTGTTTGAAAACTCAAACTTCTGAGTCTTCCATTTCCTTTATTAGACGATCGCAGCTGGTGGTGTTCGACCATCAATTCCTGAGCTTGTCCGGAAGACCCATACTCGAAAAGATGGGACCTTTGTTGATAAACGTGCAGAGTCGTTAATCAAAGAGGCTGAGACTTTGGCTGCACAGAGGGCTGCTGCTGATTCTGGTGAAATAGAAACCGCCGTTGAACTGTCGTCAGAGCTGCTCACCGCTGCATACTTGGAGGTAAGTAATGAACGTATAATTTTGGTGTTTAAACTGAGTAGTAATATTTTATTGAAAAGAAATGAGGTTTTTTGTTGCTAGTGATATCAATGATTTTATAAAGTACATCGAGTCTTTAAACTTGAGAATGTCTCTATCTTTTTTTTATGGCTGCTCATGCTTTTTCACTTTTCTAAACGGTGATTCTTTGGAAAGCTTTGTTGACATATTTGCTTTTGTTCTAAGTCAAAACTTTCTATTTTTATTTCCAGAAAGCTACCACTAAGAATGGCCATATCTATGGCCCTGGATCATCACAATTCATTAACGTTGATCCTAAAGTGTCTCCTGCCACTGCTTTTGCTCGGAACATTGCCTTAGAAGAGAGGATTACTAGTATTGAAGCAAGTGTCAAAGAGAATTTCAGCAACATGAAGAAGTCTATAGAGGACAACAAGGACAGCCATGATGCTTCAAGAAGAGCCTTAAACGTGTTGTTGCAGATTAATGGTATTGATCCTGTTACACTTATGCCACTAACTCCTACTTCACGTTCAAATGGATCTTCATCTACCGGAGCTCTTCACACTTCACACAGTCCTGTCAACTTTGGAGATCTACCAAACCATAACCTTCCTGGCATATTTGAAGAGAACTGAAGAGAATATTGTTTAATTTTAGTCTTTTGGAATATTACTATCTTTAACAACTTTTGACATTGTAATATATAATGCTTTCAGATTATTAGTACTTTAGTTACTTTTGGTGTAATATAAATTATGTTCTAATTAGATTAATACTTTTAAATTAGTGATTGTTATAACTATAATGAAGTTTTTTTAATATTTTCTATATTTACATTAATTGCCACAAAATAGATGAAAATCTGTGGCAAATTACCACTAATGTGTTATGACAAATTGTAGCAATTTGTAACAACAATATTCTTGTAATTCATGGTAAATTGCCACACATTTTATGGTGGTAATCCTTGGTAATTTTGCAACATATTAATTCTTGCAATTTGTCATAATTTGTGACAAACAAATTTATGGTTACTCGTGACAAATTTATTAGAAATGGGTTTGTGGCTATTCATTACAATATGCCACAAATTTTTTGTATCAATTTCTGGCAAATCTGCCACAAATTGTTTCCTGGATAACTCGTGGCTAATTTACCAGAGAATATAGTTGTGACATTTCGTGTCAAAAATATCAGAAATTGCCACAAAATTCTGTTTGTAACGACCCTATAGCCACAAAATTCTTTTGTAACAATTCGTGATAATTCATGATAATCCACATTTAGGAGTCTCTACTTCCTATTTGTAAGATCAGAACTCTCTCTTGTCAATATAATGCTATTTTGGATCAGAATATGAATTTTCATAAACAGAGTATCAGTTTTCTGATTTTCATAGAAGAGGTTAAGTGTAGCTAAAGGAATAAGAAAACAAGTAAATGATGCATCTCCTTCCATATTTAGCAGTCTCTACTTCTTAGTTGTAAGTTCAGAACTCCCTCTTGTCAATATAGTGCCATTTTATCCGAATCTGACTTTTTTTAGACAGAGTCCCAGTTTTCCGATATTCATAGGAGAGTCTAAGTGTAGCTAAAGGAATAAGGAAACATGTAAATGATCCATCTCCTTCCACATTTAGGAGTCTTTAATTCTTAGTTGTAAGCTCCGAAGTCCCTCTTGTCAATATAGCGCCATTTTTGATATGAATATGACTTTTCTTAAATAGAGTCCTAGTTTTCTGTATTTCATAGGAGAGTTTTAGTGTAGCTGAAGGAATAAGAAAAAAAGTAATGATGCATCTCCTTCCACATTTAGGAGTCTCTACTTCTTATTTGTAAGCTCGTAACTCCCTTTTGTCAATATAGTGCCATTTTGGATCAGAATATGACTTTTCTTAAACAAAGTCCGAATTTTCTGATTTTCATAGGAGAGTATAGGTGTAGCTAAAGGAATAAGAAAACAAGTAAATGATGCATCTCCTTCCATATTTCGGAATCTCTACTTCCTATTTGTAAGATCAGAACACTCTCTTGTCAATATAGTGCCATTTTAGATCAGAATATGAATTTTCATAAACAGAGTCTCAATTTTCTGATTTTCATAAGAGAGTTTAAGTGTAGCTAAAGGAATAAGAAAACAAGTAAATGATGCATCTCCTTCCACATTTAGGAGTCTTTACTTCTTAGTTGTAAGCTCAGAACTCCATCTTGTCAATATAGCGCCATTTTTAATCTGAATATGACTTTTCTTAAACAGAGTCCCAGTTTTCTGATTTTCATAGGAGAGTTTTAGTGTAGCTAAAGAAATAAGAAAACAACTAATGATGCATCTCCTTTCAGATTTAGGAGTCTATACTTCTTATTTGTAAGCTCATAACTCCCTCTTGTCAATATAGTGCCATTTTGGATCAGAATATGAATTTTCATAAACAGAGTATCAGTTTTCTGATTTTCATAGGAGAGTTTAAGTGTACCTAAAGGAATAAGAAAACAAGTAAATGATGCATCTTCTTTCACATTTAGCAGTCTCTACTTCGTATTTGTAAGCTCAGAACTCCCTCTTGTCAACATAGTGCCGTTTGTTTTATCCGAATCTGACTTTTCTTAGACAAAGTCCCAGTTTTCTGATTTTTATAGGAGAGTTTCAGTGTAGGTAAAGGAATAAGAAAATAAGTAAATTGATGCATTCCACATTTAGGAGTCTCTACTTCTTATTTGTAAGCTCAAAACTCCCTCTTGTCAATATAGTGCCATTTTGGATCAGAATATGACTTTTCTTAAACAGAGTCCCAGTTTTCTTATTTTCATAGAAGAGTATAGGTGTAGCTAAAGGAATAAGAAAACAAGTAAATGATGCATCTCCTTCCATATTTAGGAGTCTCTACTTCCTATTTGTAAGATCAGAGCTCTCTCTTGTCAATATAGTGCCATTTTGGATCAGAATATGAATTTTCATAAACAGAGTATCAGTTTTCTGATTTTCATAGGAGAGGTTAAGTGTAGCTAAAGGAATAAGAAAACAAGTAAATGATGCATCTCCTTCCATATTTAGCAGTCTCTACTTCTTAGTTGTAAGCTCAGAACTCCCTCTTGTCAATATAGTGCCATTTTTTATCCGAATCTGACTATTCATAGACAGAGTCCCAATTTTCCGATATTCATAAGAGAGTCTAAGTGTAGCTAAAGGAATAAGGAAACAAGTAAATGATGCATCTCCTTCCACATTTAGAAGTCTTTAATTCTTAGTTGTAACCTCCGAAGTCCCTCTTGTCAATATAGCGCCATTTTTGATATGAATATGACTTTTCTTAAACAGAGTCCAAGTTTTCTGATTTTCATAGGAGAGTTTAAGTGTAGCTAAAGGAATAATGAAACAAGTAAATGTTGCATCTTCTTCCACATTTATCAGTCTCTACTTCTTAGTTGTAAGCTCAGAACTCCCTGTTGTCAATATAGTGCCATTTTTTATCCGAATCTGACTTTTCTTAGACAGAGTCCCAGTTTTCCGATATTCATAAGAGAGTCTAAGTGTAGCTAAAGGAATAAGGAAACAAGTAAATGATGCATCTCCTTCCACATTTAGAAGTCTTTAATTCTTAGTTGTAACCTCCGAAGTCCCTCTTGTCAATATAGCGCCATTTTTGATATGAATATGACTTTTCTTAAACAGAGTCCCAGTTTTCTGACTTTCATAGGAGAGTTTTAGTGTAGCTAAAGGAACAAGAAAAAAAGTAATGATGCATCTCCTTCCACATTTAGGAGTCTCTACTTCTTATTTGTAAGCTCATAACTCCCTCTTGTCAATATAGTGCCATTTTGGATCAGAATATGACTTTTCTTAAACAAAGTCCCAATTTTCTGATTTTCATAAGAGAGTTTGGGTGTAACTAAAAGAATAAGAAAACAAGTAAATTATACATCTCCTTCCATATTTAGGAGTCTCTACTTCCTATTTATAAGATCAGAACTCCCTCTTGTCAATACAGTTCCATTTTGGATCAGAATATGACTTTTCTTAAACAGAGTCCCAATTTTCTGATTTTCGTAGGAGAGTTTTGGTGTAGCTGGGAATAAGAAAGCAAGTAAATGATGCATCTACTTCCACATTTAGGAGTCTCTACTTCCTATTTGTAAGATCAGAACTCCCTCTTGTCAATATAGTGCCAATTTTTTATCCGAATGTGACTTTTCTTAGAGAGAGTCCAAGTTTTCTGATTTTCATAGGAGAGTTTAAGTGTAGCTAAAGGAATAATGAAACAAGTAAATGTTGCATCTTCTTCCACATTTATCAGTCTCTACTTCTTAGTTGTAAGCTCAGAACTCCCTCTTGTCAACATAGTGCCATTTTTTTTATCCGAATCTGACTTTTCTTAGACAAAGTCCCAGTTTTCTGATTTTTATAGGAGAGTTTCAGTGTAGCTAAAGGAATAAGAAAACAAATAAATTGATGGATCTCCTTTCACATTTAGGAGTCTCTACTTCTTATTTGTAAGCTCATAACTCCCTCTTGTCAATATAGTGCCATTTTGGATCAGAATATGACTTTTCTTAAACAGAGTCCCAGTTTTCTGATTTTCATAGGAGAGTATAGGTGTGGCTAAAGGAATAAGAAAACAAGTAAATGATGCATCTTCTTCCACATTTAGCAGTCTCTACTTCTTAGTTGTAAGCTCAGAACTCCCTCTTGTCAACATAGTGCCCTTTTTTTTATCCGAATCTGACATTTCTTAGACAAAGTCCCAATTTTCTGATTTTTATAGGAGAGTTTCAGTGTAGCTAAAGGAATAAGAAAACAAGTAAATTGATGCATCTCCTTTCACATTTAGGAGTCTCGACTTCTTATTTGTAAGCTCATAACTCCCTCTTGTCAATATAGTGCCATTTTGGATCAGAATATGACTTTTCTTAAACAGAGTCCCAGTTTTCTGATTTTCATAGGAGAGTATAGGTGTAGCTAAAGGAATAAGAAAACAAGTAAATGATGCATCTCCTTCCATATTTAGGAGTCTCTACTTCCTATTTCTAAGATCAGAACTCTCTCTTGTCAATATAGTGTCATTTTAGATCAGAATATGAATTTTCATAAACAGAGTCTCAATTTTCTGATTTTCATAGGAGAGTTTAAGTGTAGCTAAATGATAAGTCTATATTTTACATCATTTAGAGTGCATTTTAGAGTCCTCATCATGTGTTTTCCCATGTAAATTGAGTCTTTAGGCATCAAAATAGGATTTAGGGCTTGCATTAGGTCCGAAAGAGTTTTGCATGCTTTGAAGTCTTTATCAGGTGCTTTGGAAACCATTTGGAGCTTAAGAAGAGGAGCAGAGAAGAAAACGGTGAAGAAAAGGGTCAAAAATGGTGAAAACCGCTGGACAGAAACCTCGGTCAAAAAGCTTACCAAACGCTCATTATCGGCCAAAACCCTTACCGATCGACCAAAATCGACCAAAGACGAGTATCGGGTACAAATTACCTCGGGTTAAGTTTTTGGCCGAGGCGAGAGGAATTTTACGGCTAAAAAGCTTACCGCGGTACATAGCCCTCGGTCATTTTCCTTACCGCGGGAAGCTTTTCTCGACTAAAACCTGCCCTTGCCTGTGCGTTTGAAAGATCAGCAATCCGGGGAACCTTCCGGTCCGAATCAGTTGACGGGGTTTTCATCAAAGTTGGAGATAATCAAGCAAAAATTCCGGAACAGTCGGAATCATCCAATTCGGACCAGTGAGGAGAGAGATACGGCTTCCGGAAGAAGCACCAGCATTGCGCATACTCGAGAACCGAACAGCGGATTTCAAAGCTCACGTCGGACGGAGCCTTTCCGGTCCGAACTAGCTTGCCCAGTCTTCATCAAAGTTTGATATATGTGAAAGACCTTCTCAGAACGTTTGGAATCACTCAATTCGGATCAATGGTTTGAAAGATCAGGTCTCCGGAGTTCACATCGGTCCAAAAGCTTATTTTCCGGTGAATCCAGTGCGGCGCAAAGATGTGAAATCCAGGAAGCCTTCCACTTCCCAAGATCCGACGATTTCTTCACCAAAGTTCGAGCTTATTGAGTCATCTTGACTACGGAACTGGTCTCAGAGCAATTGGAGTCGTGTGTTGAAAGTTACTGTCTCCGGAAGGCAATATGGTAGATACGAGCCTAAATGAGTTGCGATACGCGCCAAGAATTTTCTCAGGCCTCGGCATCATTGCCTCGACATTGCTCAAGTCAAGGCTCATATCTTGGGAGTATTTTGGACTAGACCTTGTGCCGATGCCTCGGCGTATTGGGATCAAGGCATGCACACGTAGGAAATGAAGATGGAAACGACTAAGTGTTGAACGTGCACCTCGGTGTAATGGCCTCGGCGTGCATGCCGGACTCTGTTCTCCCGAACCCCTCGACTACCAAGCCCCTCGACATTTTATGGCGAGGTTCCTTGTCACAAACCCAGAACCAAGAACAAGACGGCTAAAGAACACACACGTGAAGATGGATCAAAGACTAGGGTTCATGCATGTTCTTGACGTGTTCTTCACCAGATCTTCATTTGGATCCTGACTCACGTGCACTCCTCGACATAAAGACCTCGGCTTCACTCTCCAACACACCGTGGCACTCACCCATCAACCCAAGAAGGCGGCTCAGTACGCGGTTTGTTCGGGGCTGACCCGCGACACTTTCCCTTTGCTATAAATATATTTTAGGACCAAAAACCTAATCATCTTATCTCTTATCTTCTTTTAGCCTTAAGAACTTGCCTCTTTTGTGAAACTTGATTAATCTAATCCGATATCTCGTTTTTGCATCAGAATCTTGTTCTTTCTTTATTTCGTTTTATCATCCAGCATTAAACTCCTTATCATGACTAGCTACACGTCTTGCAAAGGACTTAGTGAGCTCGTTATGATCAGTGAGTAGTCGTTTAAGCGGCTTTAGATAGGTAGATTAGGGTGCTTTCAAGATAGATTAATGGGTTTAGGTGTCTAGTCTTGCATGTTTCATTCCTTAACCGACGAGATCTCTAGGCTGGATCCAAGCACATCACTTGAGGTTCAGATCTGAGACATATCTTGCATCGAAAGTGTTTGTAGAAATGTCTGAACCACTCGGTTAAGGGTTTAAGAGTCTTTCATCGCAAGAGTGATAGTTTGTTCTCTTAAATGACATTTTTGAACTGAATCTTTTTGCTGACTGATTCGTGCTTCTCAAAAGGGATTTTGGTATGAAAGAGGATCAATTTAGTTGTTTAATACTTTCATGAGAAGATTAACATGCCTTGAGTTCAAAGTTAAATGAAATCGCTTGATAAAATGATTCATTAACCCATTAGTTTAGCTTGGAAGCACCCGAGTCAAGTATCCTGTCTAAAGCTTCTGCCTTTATCATATATTATCATCATCCGAATCATTTGCTCGTTATTTGCATCTTCACTTAGTTTAAATCTCATCTTTCGTTTCATTTACATGCTTATTTACTTGTTAAATAGTTTACTTAAAACCCTTATCATTCCATCTTGACTTAAGACTACAAGTAACATAGATTAGTGTCTCCACTACAAGTTTGGTTTGATAACCCCTTGTACTACAAGGACAGGGGTATTGATAACCTCGTTAAAGAGTGAAAACTCTTAGTTATCAATTGACGCCGTTGCCAACTTGTGGGAGCATTATTCTCTTATTTGTTCTTAAGATCAAGACTTTACTTTCTTTTGTTTTACTGACTCTTTTGCAAGTTCTTGTTTTGATTTCAGGTGCATGAAAACCAGGTCTTGTAGCACAGAACCGCCTTTACCATACGACAATAACATCAACAGGATTGAGAGGGGAGCTCGCGAGAGAGAACGGCATTTTGAAAGACTTGGAATGGCAGAACAGCAAAGGATCGAGCAACAGGCTCAAGAAGCCGAGCACCAGGCTCAGGATAATCAGGCGTAGGCAGGAAGAAATGAACAACAAGCCTACGTTAACCAACAACAGGCTCAAAGAAACGAGAGGCTTGCTCAGCAAAACCAACAACAAGGGAATAGAAACGAGCAACAGGCCCACCATGTTCATCCGCCACCGCCACAAGCTCAGAGACAACCTCCTCCGGTCTTTGTTGGGGAAAATGACCGAGCTAATGCGCACCAATATAGAGCCGGGATTCAAGCTCTACCGGTTCAGAATAACAACTTTGAAATTAAAGCTTCCCTGCTCAATATGGTGCAGAACTCGAAATTTCACGGTCTAGCCGGAGAAGACCCTCTCGAGCATCTAGATCAGTTTGATCGGGTTTGCGACTTAACAAAGATTAATTGCGTTTCGGAAGATAGCTTCAAGCTACGCTTGTTCCCTTTCAGCCTCGGTGATAAAGCTCACCAGTGGGAAAAGAACTTCCCGAGGGGTTCTATACAAACATGGGAACAATATAAACTTGCGTTCTTATCAAAGTTCTTTTCCACATCACGCACGGCTAAGCTCAGGAATCAGATCTCAAGTTTCACGCAACACAACAACGAAAGCTTTAGTGAGGCTTGGGAACGGTTTAGTGAGTACTTTATACCGAGGTGCACTCCCCAAGATCAGAAACCAACTCGATACAGCTTCAAATGGAAATTTTCTTGGGAAAGAGATCAATGCGGAAATGGAACTAGTAGAAAACCTGGCCATGTCTAATGACACGTATGGAGAGGATTTTGATAGGGCAAACCGTTCAGAGGGATCTAGTGATAAACAGCGTATGAAGAAGGATATCAGAGAGCTTCAGAGCAAGCTTGACTAGGTTTTAATGGCGACTCAAAAACCAATACACTTTGTAGGCGAGTTTGATGAGCAAGGGCCAAGTTTTGACAATGTTAATGAAGATGGTCTAACTCAAGAGGAGCTGAAATACATAGGGAATCAGCAGAGGTATCAGCGGTTTAACAACTACAACAGTAACCCAAACCTCTCATACAGAAACCCAAATGTAGCAAACCCTCAAGACCAAGTGTACCCTGCTCAATAACAACAACAAAGCTATGCTCAAAAAGCTCCTTTTCAGAATACCTTTCAGCCCAAGCAACAGTTCAGTGGGCAACCGCAAGGCTACACTCAGCAAAATCAAGCGGCTCAGGGTAACAACTTCACCAGCCAACCTCAGCAACACAAGTATCCGCCAGGGTTCAATCCGCAGCCGATGGGTAATCAGCAACAGATTCATGGAACGGGTCAGAATCAGATGGGAACAGATGTCTGTGGGATCTTACAACAACTGTTACAGGGTCAGCAGAGAGTGGAGAGCCAGCACGCGACAACTGTCTACATCATCACGAGGCCCGGCTTTACCAGGTAAGCTGGAGCCGAAACCCAAGGAATATGTGAACGCTATAACATTGAGGAGTGGTAAAGAATTACAAGCTCCAACGCCTAAAACAAAGCTCATTGAGGCCAATGAGCAATTAGAGGGGGAGACAGCCTCAGATGATGCGCGTAAAGAAGAAGTTTTTGAGAAGGAACCGGTTAAAGACAAAGGAAAAGAGGTGGAAAAGATAACTGAGCTTGAAAAGCCCTACGTTCCACCACCACCTTACCAACCCAAGATACCATTCCCAGGGCGTTTCAAAAAGAAAATCCTAGACAAAGCCAAGGCTGTCTTTGAGAACCACTTGGGGAACACGCAACTTACCTTACCCATCATAGATGCTTTCTTAGCTATACCTCAGCTTGGAAAGTTTCTAAAAGATGTGATCCTTAACAAGACAAAGGAGCTCCAGGGTATGGTAATACTGAGCCATGAGTGCAGCGCTATAATAAAAAGAAGATCTATACCAAGAAAGCTATCCGATCCGGGCAGCTTTACTTTACCGTGTGCTTTAGGTCACTTGAAGTTCTCAAACTGCTTATGTGATCTTGGAGCTTCTGTGAGCTTAATGCCTTACACGGTGGCCAAGAGACTGGGATACAAAAGTTACAAGCCGGCCAAGATCTCTCTTGTATTAGCTGATAGATCGGTTAGACTACCGGTGGGGTTGCTTGAGGATTTACCTTTGAGAATCGGTGAGATAGAAATCCCCACGGACTTCATAGTTCTTGTGATGGACGAGGAACCATTAGATCCCATCATCTTGGGCCGACCATTCTTAGCAACAGCAGGAGCCATAATCGATGTGTGAGGGGGTATGATTGAACTACACATCGGTTCCGAGACTATGAAGTTCAACGTGAAGGAAATGATGAAGAAACTGACCATTGGAGGTCAGGTTTTCTATGTGGAAGTTATGGAGGAGCTAGCTGATGAGCTCCTAGAGGAGTTAAACGCAGAGGACCCGTTACAAGTGGTCTTGACACGGGAACAAAGTGAGCACGGGTACTTGAACTATGAAAGCGAGGTGTACAAGCTTCTTTTGGACCAACAGAAGGAACTTGGAGCTGAGACGAGGTTTCTAGAGCTTAAGAAGAGTGGCCTCGACATTTTAGACAGCGAGGGGTCCAAGAGTACAGAGGAGACACCTCGGGATATCATGGCCGTGACAGCTTGTGCCGAGGCCGATGGTAAACCGCGCGAGAACAAAGAAAAGGCCGAGGACGCTGTTCCGGGTCAATGCAGCTTTGATGCCGATTGGAATGAGGCTGATGCACCCCCTGTTGAGCTCAAGCCTCTACCAACAGGGCTCAGGTATGCGTTCTTGGGTCTAAACTCCACTTTTCTTGTGATCATAAACGATAGCTTGCTTGAACATGAAGAACGTGCATTGCTTAATGAAATAAGAAAATTCAGGAGAGCCATAGGGTATTCCTTAGCTGACATTAGAGGGATCTCTCCTGATATATGCACCCACAGGATCCACTTAGAGGACCAAGCTATGTCCTCTATTGAGCACCAACGTCGCCTTAACCCGAATCTTAAAGAGGTGGTTAAGAAGGAGATACTAAAGCTCCTTGAGGCAGGGATAATATATCCAATCTCTGACTCTCGGTGGGTATCTCCTGTACACGTTGTGCCCAAGAAACGTGGGATCACGGCGGTGAAAAACGATAAGGATGAAGTCATAGCCCAAAGAACTATAACCGGCCATCGCATGTGCATTGACTATAGGAAATTGAATTCTGCATCAAGAAAAGATCATTTTCCTTTACCATTCATTGATCAAATGCTTGAACGGCTAGCTAATCATCCTTATTTTTGTTTTCTTGATGGATACTCGGGGTTCTTTCAAATACCCATAGACCCCCGAGATCAAGAGAAAACGACATTTACTTGCCCTTATGGCACCTATGCTTATAGGAGAATGCCTTTCGGTTTGTGTAATGCACCGGCCACTTTTCAAAGATGTATGATGCACATTTTCTCTGATCTAATTGAAGAGAAAGTCAAGGTGTTTATGGATGATTTCTCCGTATACGGCTCCTCTTTCTCCGAATATCTTGCTAATTTATCTTAGGTTCTAAAGCGATGTGAGGAGCATAGGCTTGTCTTGAACTGGGAGAAGTGCCATTTCATGGTCCAAGAAGGCATTGTCTTGGGACACAAGGTATCAGAGAAGGGCATTGAGGTGGACAAGGCTAATATCGAGGTGATGGTGAACCTACAAGCTCCGAATTCTGTAAAAGGAATAAGAAGCTTCCTTGGGCACGCAGGGTTCTATAGGCGGTTTATTAAAGATTTCTCCAAGATAGCTAGACCCTTGACGAGGCTATTGTGTAAAGAAGTGGAGTTTATCTTTGATGAAGAGTGTGAGGAAGCGTTTAAGAGAATCAAGGAAGCCTTGATCAGTGCACCGATAGTACAAGCTCCCGATTGGTCTTTACAATTCGAAGTGATGACTGATGCATCTGACTATGCCGTGGGAGCTGTCTTGGGGCAAAAGAAAGATAAGAAGCTCCATGTGATTTACTATGCAAGCCGCACCTTGGACTCGGCTCAAGAAAAGTATGCCACCACCGAGAAGGAAATGCTTGCCATTGTGTTTGCATTTGACAAATTTAGGAGTTATCTAGTGGGATCGAAGGTCACAGTTTACACGGATCACGCGGCCTTGAGGTATCTAATGGCTAAGAAGGACGCTAAGCCAAGGCTGTTGAGATGGGTCTTAGTGCTCCAAGAATTTGACATGGAGATACTTAATAAGAAGGGCATTGAAAACGGAGCCGCAGATCACCTCTCTAGGCTGAGGATTGAAGAACAGGTCCCCATAGATGATGCTTTACCTGAGGAAACCCTCATGCTAGTCAGGTCCTACTTAGAAGTGGAGGAGGCCAACACCATCAGGGAAAGAAGCCTCCCATGGTTTGCAGATCTAGTGAACTACTTGTCTTGCGGTCTAGAGCCACCAGATCTTGATACTTATCAGAGGAAGAAGTTCTTTAGAGATGTGATGAGATATCATTGGGATGAGCCGTATCTTTACGTGCTTAACAAGGACCATCTCTATAGGCGATGCTTGGCCGAAGAAGAGATCCACATTGTGCTACACGAATGCCACGGTTCATCGTATGGTGGTCACTTAGGTGCATTCAAGACGGTTGCCAAGGTTTTACAAAGCGGTTTCTGGTGGCCGACTATGTTCAAAGACGCCCAAGATGTAGTCTCGAGGTGTGAACCTTGTCAAAGGCACGGTAACATATCCAAGAGGAATGAGATGCCCCAAAATCCAATCTTTGAAGTAGAAGTCTTCGACTGTTGGGGCATTGACTTCATGGGTCCCTTTGTAAGCTCGTATGGGAATCAGTATATCCTTGTCGCGGTGGACTATGTGAGTAAATGGGTTGAAGCGGTTGCATCTCCAACCAACGATTCAAAAGTGGTGGTAAAACTCTTCAAGAGTATCATTTTCCCACGGTTTGGAGTCCCAAGGGTAGTTATCAGTGATGGGGGAAGCCATTTCATCAACAAGACTCTTGAGAGTCTTTTGAAGAAGCACGGAGTAAAGCACAAGGTGACCACCCCTTATCATCCGCAAACCAGCGGCCAAGTGGAGGTTTCTAACCGACAGATAAAGGCGATTTTGGAAAGAACCGTGTGCTCATCTAGGAAGGATTGGAGCAAGAAACTTGATGATGCTTTGTGGGCTTACAGAACCGCATACAAAACCCCCATTGGAACCTCACCGTTTAACTTGCTCTATGGAAAAAGCTGCCATTTACCGGTTGAGTTGGAATACAAAGCCTTGTGGGCAGTAAAACTTCTGAACTTTGACATCAAGACCGCACAAGAGAAGAGGGTTTTACAACTTCATGAGCTTGAAGAGATCCGTTTAGACGCTTTTGAAAGCTCTAAAATTTACAAGGAAAGGACCAAGGCGCTCCATGACAAGAAGATACACAAGAGAGAGTTTAAAGAAGGGGACCAAGTTCTGTTGTTCAACTCAAGACTTAAGCTATTCCCTGGGAAGCTGAGGTATAGGTGGTCCGGTCCGTTCACAATTCTTGAAGTAAGGCCTTATGGAGCCGTTGTGTTAAAAGGAAAAGATGGACAAGGTTTTGTGGTAAACAGTCAGCGGGTAAAGCATTACTTGGCATCAGAAACAAGAGAGGGAGCTACCTCAGTTCCTCTTCTTGAACCAGAATCAGCCTGAAAAGGTATGAAAAGTCAAACTTAGTGACG